TATCTGTGTAGCACGTGACAGTATGTATTACAAGAGGTATGAGATACAGAAATCACTGAGTTTAGACAAATAAATTAGGTTACCAATATTAATTTTTATGGTAAAAAATGAATTCGAGGTTGGAGGAGAGTAGTGATTAAGATACAGGCCAAGATGGATCAGGCAAATATAAACAAAATGAAAGTACTTCCGACAACATTAATTAAAGTAGAACTTGGGGAAAATACCAGCAGGGCAGAAATTATACATTGATAAAAAACATAGTCTTTAAGTGAAGCTGTACTGTTGTAAACTTTTGTACCAAATAACACAGCATTGAAATATAGAGTGTAAAGTTTTTTTTTTTAAAAACTGAGAATAAATTGGTAAACTTCATTCAGTTTACCTGCCAGGATTTCTGGTTTCTCTTAGGTGGTCTCTGTGTAAGTGTATCTACATATATATTTAGACAGACATATAGTAGACAATATATATGTATTTACACACACACACACTTTTATAGTTACACATACACTCATATGTATAACTATGTAGTTAAACTACCATGCAGCTGTGTCATAATTTATCTAGTCAATCCTCAAGAATTATCTTGTTTTTAATTTTTCACTAATAATTTTATAATAAATATGCTAAGGATAAATTCTTATAGATTGTATAAATTTTTGTGTGTTCTGTTCGGCAGGTTGTCTGTTTTGTTTGTTACTGTGTATCTGAATGAAAAAAAACTACTTGATTCTATACAGTGTTTCATTTGTGAAAAGAGAACTACCTGGTAAATGGTTCTCCATTTTCATAATTTATTTTTATGTTATTTTAGCCTTACAAAGGATGAATCCAAAAGGCCAAAGTATAAAGAACTTCTGGTAAGTATGGGACTTGGGAATTTTAGATGGTTCCTCACCCCTGAATTCTCTTAGCGTGCTAGCTCACTGAGCCAGCAGAAGGCCTCTCTGTCACAAACAGCTTGACTTTAATGAATATAAATTTTTATGTTTTTAAACAAAGGTATTTTGAAAGAACAAATTATAGTAATAATTTTCCTACTAATTTACTAGTCGAATTCTTACAGAAAATTTTGACTTTGACATGTTATAAAAATTATCCCCAAAGAATTCCAGTATTATTTTAAGAAGCCATTGGCTTGGTAGTTAAGTGCTCAGCTGCTAACCAAAAAGGTCAGTGGCTTGAACCCACCAGCGGCTCCGTGGTGATCTGCTCCCATAAATAATTAAAACCCAAAAAAAACCCCCAAATTTGTTGCTGTCAAGTCGATTTCAACTCATAGTGACCCTCTAGGACAGAGTAGAACTGCCCCATAGAGTTTCCAAGGAGCGGCTGGTGGATTTAAAACTGCTGACCTTTTGGTTAGCAGCTGTAGCTCTTAACCACTATGCCACCAGGGCTCCCCCTTAAAGATTACAGCCTAGGAAACCCTAAGGAGTAGTTCTACTGTGTCCTGTAGGGTTACTATGAGTCAGAATCAACTCAGTGGCACACAGCCACAACATTTCCACTGCATAGTCTATGCAGATGTAACACATCCATTAGAAAAAGTTTATGAAACATTTATTGCACTTAGTTTGCCTTTATTAAAAACTGTCACACAAATTTACAACGTACGGCCAGTTCCCATTTCTTTGAAACTTTTCACTCATCCTATGGACATTGGTTGTTGTAAGCAATCTTCCGGATATGGCATTGGTCTAGGCAGTGGAGAAAGTACTGTGATGTCGTAGTGTGGGAATGTTTTAAGAAGAGACTCACTTGCTTGTCACACTTAGCTTCTCGTCTCCATGGATGTTAGATGGAGCCTGTGGTCAACCCCAGCAGTGACTCTAAAGATGGCCAGTCAGCATACTTAGAGAAGTTATGAAAGAAGAGTACTGTTAGAGTTGGAGTATACAAAGACGCGTTTGCAAGGCAGATGCAGGGCTGTGGGCTCTGGAGGATAAAGGGCAGGAGCTCATAGAGTATGTTTCTGTTGGGTGTTTTGTGGGGTAGGGAACAGAAAGAGTGAAGGTTGAAAACCTTTTTGGAGACCCTTCTGCTGCAGATGAGGAAGTGGGGGATTCATGCCTGTACCCCAAGAGGAATAGCGACTAGTATTCATGTAGTTCTTCTTGCCTCCCAGATGGTGGTAGAGGCTCCAGCTATGTTTTGTGCTGAGGAACAACTCTGCTCTCTGTCTCAACAAATACTCCCTGGGTATATACAGATAAGTTTCTATACCTCACTGCCAGGGTGGCACTCCAAATCATAACTCCATGTATCATACCAAGGCACATCCCCCTGCCCCAACATGTCTGCATGAAATAAAGGCTGTATTTGCCTCTCTGAACTTACGATGCTGCAGGTTTTTACAGCCATCTGTGGATGGGAGGCTTCAGTCCTATGCTGTATAGAAATTGGGAAAAGTTCAGGGTGGGCTCTGAAACTAGGTTTGTACATTTTTTTCATTGTTACTATTGTTCTCAATTTTCTTGCAGAAACATCCCTTTATTTTGATGTATGAAGAACGTACCGTAGAGGTCGCATGCTATGTTTGTAAAATTCTGGATCAAATGCCAGCTACTCCCAGCTCTCCCATGTATGTCGATTGATATCGCTGCTACATTGGACTCTAGAGAAAAGGGCTGAGAAGAAGCAAGACGTAAAGAATTTTCATCCTGTATCACAGTGTTTTTATTGCTCGCCCAGACACCATGTGCAATAAGATTGGTGTTCGTTTCCATCATGTCTGTATACTCCTGTCACATAGAACGTGCATCCCTGTAATACCTGATTGATCACACAGTGTTAGTGCTGGTCAGAGACCTCATCTTGCTCTTTCGTGATGAACATGTTCATGAAATGTGGAAGTCAGTACGATCAATTTGTTGACTGTGATTAGATCACATCTTAAATTCATTTCTAGACTCGAAACCTGGAGACTCAGCTACTGGCATGGTGTTTTGTCAGACTTCCAAATCCTGGAAGAACGTGGTGATGGATGTATTATGTCTGAACACAGAGACTCGGGCTTGGGTGAGAAGAGCTTGCACAGCCAGCGAGACACATGGCCTTCTGGAGCTGGGAGACGAAAGGAGGAATTTACTTTCTTCACCAAGTGCAATAGATTTACTGATTTGATATTCTGTTGCTTTACAGTCACAGTCGATGTTTGGGGATCGATGTGCTCAGCCAAATTTCCTGTTTGAAATATCATGTTAAATTAGAATGAATTTATCTTTACCAAAAACCATGTTGCGTTCGAAGAGGTGAACATTAAAATATTGAGACAGGACAGAATGTGTTCTTTTCTCCTTTACCAGTCCTTCTATTCTTCATTGGGAAGACTCAGGAGTCTGCCATTTGTTAAAGAAGGTGCTGATCCTAAGAATTTCTCATTCTCAGAATTCAGTGTGCTGTCAACTTGGTGTTCCACCTGCCACAAACCACCAGGACTGAAAGAAGAACAAGTACAGAGGGCAAAGTTTACAGATGTTTTTAATTCTAGTATCGTATCCTGAACAACTTGTAGCAGCTGTCTATTTCCCCTTGCCCCAAGCCTGATACTTCAGCCCTCTTAACTCGCTAACAGGGAGAAGTTGCTGGTAGCAGTGTGCCTTGATCGATTCCATAAAGATTCTTGTAGGCAGCAAAAGACCAAATCTCAGTTGTTTGCTTCTTGCCATCACTGTTCCTGGTCTTCAGTTCCTGAATCTCTTTCCTTCCCATGTGGCCTA